TCCCCGTCCCCTGGCGCCCGGCGGGCGAACGGCCACACCCCCTGGCGCCCGACAACCTCAAAAGGTTGGGGACCACTGCTATAATAGAACAGTCAGCTACGTGTCTAACTAAGCCAATAGTACCTGACTATGGTGTTATCAGAAATAACTCAGTCTTCACGGTGCAATTTGCCTGCATGTAACAATTCCATTGGCAGTGTTGTCTTCAAGTCGTCATTGTCAAGTCCAAGTCGAGTCTCAAGTCACTACAGTTCAAGTCGCAAGTCGAGTCTTGAGTCCCTAAATTCATTTTCGAGTCAAGTCCCAAGTCAAGTCTCAAGACTTAATTTAAAAAATGTCACGTCACTTTTGTACAAGCCATCAATATTGGCATTTTCGGACAATTTTTTCACCAAGTCGATTTAACAAGATTAGCAAGTCTCAAGTTGAGTCTCAAGTCACAAACAATGAAGTCAAATCACCTAGATGACTTAATTCAGACTCGAGTTCAAGTTGTGAAACTTGAGTCAACAACTCTGTCCATTGGATAAAAAATGAGTTGGTGTTACGAAAAGCAGATACACTAAGTACAGGGATTTAACTACATCCTCACATTTTGTGGTTGGTAAACCAAGAGTTTCTATAGGTGTAAGAGCAGCATGGGGAAAGATGCACTAATACAAACCCCACCTCCACACCAAGGGGCACGTGGACGCCACACTCCGTTTAGTCCGTCCTCCGTTGTGCATAAAATAGAGGCCTCTCCAGTCAACGGGTAACCGTTATCACATGCATACGTTACAGCTGACCCATAAGAGAATTCATCCACTAACACCCCACTGTGCTTTCCATTGGGGATGTTTGGAGGGGGATTACACAGAATACCTGGAGAGATATAGAAGAAGAGTATTTGAGAATAGATACTGGTAAAGAAGCAGCTCCCATTACTTGACCTGCTAAAGAAAACTAACTGCCATAGCTATAAAACCACTAGAATGAACTAACCCAACAGGGGATGACTCTGGGGTGTCTGATTCACTCCAGCACTGACATGATATAAAATGACAAATTAATTAATTAATATAATTTTAAATTCTGGTCTTACTGATGAGTACCATAGACAGTTTTCCAGACTCAGTGTGGATTAAGAACAAAAGCTAATAACAGCAATAAAGGAACAAAATCTTGCTGCTATTCTCTACCTGTAGTGTGAGACTGCCCTGTCATAGGTGACTTTTGCTTCTCTTTCCCAGCAGTCTCTAACAAACTGAGATTGCCCGGTCAGTGGTTCTCAACCAGAGGTACGTGTACATCTGGGGTGTGCCAAGATCTTTTCCCAGTGGTAAATCAACTCCTCTGGATATTTGCCTAGTTTTACAATTGGCTACATAAAAAGCACTAGTAAAGTCAGCACATCCACCAATTTCATGGAGACAATGACTTGTTTATACCACTCTACACACTGAAATGTAAGTACAATATTTATATATTTCAATTCATCTACCATCAACCTCCCACTGCGGCAACGGGGCCAAGCTCAGCATACAGTGCACTGACTTCAGCTACATTATTTATCTAGCTGAAGTTGTGTATCTTAAGTTGACCTCCCGGGACTAGTGTAGAGTAGGGATGTAAGTGAATAATTGACTAGTCGACTCTCTGATAAGTAAAAGCTTATCGGATAGTCAACACACTAGCCACTTCCCTCCCCTTGCTGCTTCTATCACAAAGAGGCAGCGGGGGAAGGGGGAAAAAGAGCAGGTGCAGGGGAGAGCCGGCTTAAAAGCTGGTTCCCGCCAGCTCCAGCTCAGTGGGAGTGGACAGGGGCGCAGTGGTGAAGTTGTTGCCCAGTCTACTGGGGCTCTTGTACATTTCAAAGGTGGAACACGCTAATCCTTATTGACTAATCGAATAGTCAGTGGAAATCCCATCGACTATTTGATTAGTTAATTCATTGAAATTTAACATCCATAGTGTAGACCTGGACACTGTGAGTTCTCCCTCTCTGACGTGGGGATCACGAGGGCTTCCCTAGCTGTTAATGAACATTTGTGAGGCAAGCAGATAGCACAAGTGCCCATGCCAGCACACGGACAGATGTCTGTAATTCACTCACGCTCACAAGTGGGCAGATCACGGCTCCATGCAACGCGCAGGCCGAAAAGCACACATCGTATGGAAGGCCATCCAATCAGCCGGTGCCTGGAGTTAGGCAGAGGGGTTATTGTTTCTTACCTCCCTTTGGCATCTCATTTCTTCTGAGAAGCTCAGTTGTTTGGGAAGCTTTTCTCAGTAGCCGCAGCAGGTCAGGACCAACACCATTGAGTGATGGTCACAGAGCAAAGTCTCCTTCATCAACGGAGAACTCCCCAGCCCCTTCCACAATTCAAACATGGAACCGAATCCTGCACAGGCCCCATCAGCTGGTGTTCTGAGAGTCAGGAGAACCAAAATCTCCTTCCTGTGCCCTCTGCTCCTCCCCACACCAGTAGGGTCATCCCCTGCCAGGGAATCACAAGCCACATGCAAACTAGGAACATCAGCACTTTGGAACAGGCTGCTGGGGGGTTGTTACTACGCCAGCTCCACACCGGTTCTACACTTTTCACATTGGAGTGCATTGGGTTATGGGTGTGGGCCTGGCACAACCAGCTGGGGTTGGCCAGCTTGAGATAATCAGTCAGGTCAGTCCTAACCCAAGAAAGAGCAATATATGACCACTGCACCACATGAGGCCCAAATGCACAGACATGGATAAATAAACCAATGCTGAGCTGAGCTCTAGCAGACTGGGCAACAAAATGGCAAATGAATTTTAATCTTGCTAAATGCAAAATAATGCACATTGGAAAACATAATCCCAACTATAAGTACAATATGACGGGTAATATAAGTACAATTTTGCTACAACCACTCAAGAGAGATCTGGGAGTCATTGTGGATAACTCTCTGAAAACATCCACTCAGTGTGCAGCGGCAGTCAAAACAGCAAACAGAATGCTAGGAATCATTAAAAGAGGATAAGATAAGAAGACAGAGAACTTCTTATTGCCTCTATATAAATCCATGGTACACTCACATCTTCAATACTGCTTGCAGATGTGGGCACTCCGTCTCAAAAAAGATATCTTAGCATTGGAAAAAGTTCAGAAAAGGGCAACAAAAATGATTAGGGGTTTGGGGCTGCCATAAGAAGACAAATAAAAAAGACTGGGACTATTCAGCTTGAAAAAGAGGAGACTAAGGAAAGATATGATAGAGGTACATAAAACCATGTCTGGTGTGGAGAAAGTGAATAAGGAAAAGTTATTTACTTCTTCCCATGAAATAAGAACAATGAAATGAATAGCTGGTTTAAAATAAACAAAAGGAAGTATTTCTTCATGCAGCACACAGTTAGCCTGTGGAACTTCTTGCCAGAGGATGTTATGGAGGCCAGGAATTTAACAGGGTTCAAAAAAGAGCTAGATTAATTCATGGAGGATAGGTCCATAAAAGGCTATTAGCCACATTGGGTAGGAATGGTGTCCCTGGCCTCTGTTTGTCAGGGGCTGGGAATGGGTGACAGGGGAGGGATCACTTGATGATCACTCTGCCCTCCGGGGCATCTGGCATTGGTCACTGTCAGGAGACAGGATGGATGGGCTACATGGACCTTTAGTCTGACCCAGTCTGGCTATTCTTAGGTTCTTACATTCTTAAAGTTCAGCACCAGCAGCTGCTATGGCCATTTTCTGTGACACGGGACTGGATGTGCAAAGAGATTCTTCCTTTTCCAGCCCAGACACGAGACTCCTACAGCCCTCCCAGGCTGCAGCTGCAGCTGCAGACCTTGCTATTCAGGCCACTCAAGCACAGCCCTAGTCTTTCAAAGGAGAGGGCAGGCTACAGATGCCCTATCCCCAAGCTCTAACTCAGACAGCTCCTGCGCTGGGTGTGTCCTTGGATATGGGAAGGCAACCCTGGAGTCTCTTCTCTGCATGGCCCTTAGGAAAGGCAACCACGTCACATCATTCGGAAGAAGAACTGTTCCCAGGCCAAAGCAGATTGAAAAGCGAAGACATTCCACAAGACTGAGCACACACAAGGAAAACAGGGAGTCTTAGGCCAATCCAGCTTTCTTGTCAAAATTACACTGACTGAACCAGGGGGGAGCTGTGCTGGCGTATTATAAAACAGCAATCTGCTTACAGGAGAAGGGGGAACACGAGGACATCCATTTATGTTGCACACCTCCAAGCTAAGCACAAATAGCCAGCTCAGGCAGTCAGAAACGTACCCTTCATCACACGTGAAGTTGGCCGTTGACCCAAACTCGGTTTCGGTTAAAATAACTCTGCCATTCTCCGGCTCTCCTGGATGACCGCACGATTTCCCTGGTAGAGAACAAGGCTAGGATTAAACTTCTCTCTTTCAAGGCAGGAATTACCCTTGGGACTGTCCATATTAAATGCCACATTAAACACCAGATTTCATTTAGAAGGACCCAGAATGGGCACAAATATCGAGCTTTTCTGGTCACTATTAACCATTTAAAAGGAATGAATCTTTTTGTGGTGTTGCTACTATGTGGTGCCATTAAGACCTTTTATTAACAAAAAACAAAATATTCACTTTTACAGAACTCAGGGGCTTTTGACCAACTTCTGTTTTCAAGGCATGTAATAATGGGTTGGATCCTTGGGTGTCTACTGTATCCAGGCCGGCAAGTATATTTTGCAGTTGCCCCAATAACAAAGTTAGTCTGATTTTTATACTCATTCCTCAGCTCAGCAAAGCTTAACCTGGTTGGGACACCACAGCCATCTAGGAAGAAAGGAAACACATATAAGAAAAAAGTACACCCCCTCCTCTTCCGGTGCATAACAACAACACTGTTACTAAGTAAGATCTGTTTACAAATATTTCTCAAGATGTAAACTGTGAGCAAATCTGAAAGAATACACATAGGGCCAAACTCACTGTGGGCACCAGAACCCTCATTTCTTCATGAACTAAAACAAAATATGCACTTGTTCTGTTTACCCTTAGTTGTATTAGCCATCATTGGACTCTCTTCTCCCAGGATGCTCAAATGTGCCATTTTTCAGGAATACTGTCAGCTAAAGATCAAAGGATCACGGTACTTGTTTCTGGCCTTAAATGTTTGATACTCTAGGCTTAGCAATGCCCAGCATAATTAATAATGTCCACAAACGGCATCATCCAGAAGAGGACCTGAACCATTTACAAACTTTCTCACAGCAGCCTATTGACTCAAGACTATTTATTACCTCTTACTCTTCATTTCCCAGATGAAATGATTGGATGATTACTCATCACCAATGGTAGATATGGACCCATAAACAAACACTCATCATGTTCCTTACACCATTAGAGCTGTCTTTTCATTGTGTCTAGAAGCTTACAGACACCTAGATTCACAGCCTGAGAGTTGTCAGGCTGCTTTCATGAACGCATTCACTGCTACTTCCTTTGTTTACATTGTCAAATTCAGTTGCCCCATAAAGATACATTTGTGTTCATAACAATGGCAAATTTCTGGGTTCACACCATTACTCTAACCAGTGCAAGATCTATGTGCAGACATGCCCTCTGCCTTGGAGTACGTCCCCAGAACAACTTACTTTGCTGAGCCACTTAACTTAGAAGTTCTACACTTTTCTATCTTCTTACTGACACTTTTAAAAACGGATTCCACTGTAATTTCATCCAGCAGCGATCAGGGCGTGAGTGTGCACAGTTTCACTGAATTAAACTGAGCTGCTTCTGCCAGCTGTGATTCCAGCCCTGTGCATCTCCTGGGGGATCTATTCCCAGCTGCGAGTTTTGTTGCATTATCTGGTGTGACGGAACACTCTCTCTCTCACTTTAAATCCTGTTGGGGGACTGACACACCTACAGCCCAAGGGAGGAAGCCAACTGAAAATGCATTCACCTTCACATAGAGGAGAGGGGTGGCTCCACGTTCCAGATGTGGTACAATAGATAGAAGCCTCTCCTCGGAGGGCGTAGCCGGGCTCACAGCTGTAGTTAACATACGTTCCACTGGGGAAAGCTGCCAAAGGATTGGCATCGTGCTTCCCATGGCGAATGACCGGTGGTGGGAGACATGGCAAGGCTAAACAAGGAAGAAAAGTATTTCAGCAATAATGTCAGTTCTGTTCAAGAAAAGCTTAAAAGAGACTGAGAGGGAAAGCCACGGCTGGACGTGGTAAGTCAAAACCACCAATACATCAGCGATGCATCTCAGACACACAAGATTAAAAACCACAGGCTTAGATTCCCTTCTCCCCAGAACTCAGCTGGCCCCCTTCTGTTACTTTTCTGTCCCTACAAACCTTCCTGGACTCCCTTAGGAATCAGAAATAGAATGTGTTCTGAGCGGGATGAGTTCTGCTGATTTGCGTTTCCATTTATACCACTCGGCTGCTCAGTGAGAGAGACACCGACAGGTCTCTGTCTGTCAGCAGGGCAGGGCAGGATGCAGGGGATCCGCTATCACAGTGACGAACGCTGTCAGGGGATTAGGGGGCAGGTGGATATTTATATTTTCCCCATTCACAGCTGAAAACCGACCCCAGGACACAGATGGACTCTATTTTAGCCTCCAGGCACTTCCCTGCCCGACACTGACCATCCCAGTGACCCAGCAGTCACCCTTGATTCACACTTACGTTGTATGCAGACTGGAACAGGGGGATCCCAGGTTGCATTTCCTTTGCACTCAATCTGCCGGCTGCCATCCAGCGTGTAGCCAGGATCACATTCAAAACTCACCCTGTCCCTGGGTCTGTAGACAGGGCCATGTCCAGCTACTTGTCTTCCATGCTGGATTTTTGGGGCCATGCAGAGAACCTCTGAAATTGAAAAGGTGCAAAATGCAAATACTTCAGTGCTAGCCTGCCTAAAATCACCTGTCCCGGGCACTGTACTGCTGCTGATCCTCATGAATAGAGGTGGATCTCTCTCAGTGACACAGACAGCTGGGCTGGCAGGCGAGCTGTCTGCAAGGGGTTCTCAATAGATAGCCTGCTCCTTACACATGGTCTGAAGGAGTACAGGGCTGTTGGCCTTTCAGGACACACACTGCAAATGTTTTCTGCTCACCAGCATGTAGCAAGTGTGGGAATTGGAGGCTGAGGTTTGTGTTTTTGTCTGTCAGAGGAAGGTGGAGATAGTTCAGGTAATGTTTCACATGGAAGCTTTTTAAAAATATTTCCTTAATAGATGTATGTCTGTGCACGTGTACACTAGGAGTTCCCTGTTTACATGCTGTCCCTTTATTTTCAAAACCATTTATTTCACCATGTGTCTCGTTAAATAGAGCTTTCATTTCTGCTGTTAATTCTGTTGCACTGTTGAACTAGTGTTTTGAGTGAAATCCTATAGCAGAAGCTTCTTTCTCTTAGCTCTAGGTAACAGAACATGAACCCACCTTCACATCAGGGGTGGGGTGCGGGTGGGGTGGGAGGAGTATTCCCAGTAAGGAAATAGCCACACTTATAGTTATAAGGTACAGAGATTCCATTGCTAACACCACTAAAGCCTCGTTTTTGGGCTTCCCATTGGTAATGGTGGAGATGAAGTGCAACATTATGGAATCCTTGAATCACTGAACTAGACATCTTGAGAGGTCATCTGGTCCAGTTCCTTGCACTCATGGCAGGACCAAGCACTGTTTAGATCATCCATGCTTGACATCTGTCTAACCTGCTCTGAAATATCTCCAGCCATGGAGATTCCACAAACTCCCTAGGCAACTTATTCCAGTGCTTATCCACCCTGACAGGAAGTTTTTCCTAATGTCCAACCTAAACCTCCCTTGCTGCCATTTAAGCCCATTGCATCTTGTCCTATCTTCAGAGTTTAAGGAGAATATTTTTTCTCCCCTGTGCTTGTACCAACCTTTCAGGTACTTGAAAACTGATATGTTCCTTCTCAGTCTTCTTATCTTTTCCAGACTAAATAAATCCAGTTCTTTGAATCTTCTTTCAAAGGACATGTCCTCTAGACATTTAATTATTTTTGTTGTTCTTCTCTGCACTTTTTCCAGTTTGTCCATATCTTTCCTGAAATGTGGCACCCAGAACTCGACACAATACTTTAGATGAGGTCTAATCAGCACAGAGTAGGGAGAAGAATGACTTCTTGAGTCTGGCTTACAATTCTCCTGATAATGCATCCCAGAACAAGGTTTGCTTTTTTGGCAACAACGTCACACTGTTGACTCATATTTAGCTTGTGGTCTATTATGACCCCTAGATCCCTTTCTGCGGTACTTTTTTTTAGGCAGTCATTTCCCATTTTGTGGGCATGCAATTGATTGTTCCTTCTATGCAGAGTACATTTGTCTGTTGTGAATCTCATCCTATTTATCTCAGACCACTTCCCCACTTTGTCTAGATTGTTTTGAATTACAATTCTGTCCCCTGATGCATTTACAGCCCCTCCTAGCTTGGTGGCATCTGCAAACTTTATAAGTGTAGTATCTAAGCCATTATCAAAATCGTTGGTGAAGATACTGAATAGAACCAAACCCAAAACTGATGTCTGAGGAGCTCCATTCATTATGCCTGTCCAGAATAACTGTGAACCATTGATAACATGAAGAGAGATTAAAAAGACTTGGACTTTTCAAGTTAGAGAAGAGGAGACTAAGGGGCAATATGAAAGAGGTCAATATAAAATCATGACTGGTATGGAAAAAGTGAATAAGGAAAAGTTATTTACTTATTCCCACAATATAAGAACTAGAGGTCACCAAATGAAATTAATAGGCAGCAGGTTTAAAACAAACAAAAGGAAGTTTTTCTTCACTCAGCCCACAGTCAACCTGTGGAACTCCTTGCCGGAGGATGCGGTGAAGGCTAGAACTTTAACAGGGTTCAAAAAAGAGCTAGATAGATGAATGGAGGTTAGATCCATTCAATGACTATTAGCCAGGATGGGTAGAAATGGTGTCCCTAGCCTCTGTTTCTCTGGAAGTAGGTGACAGGAGAGGGATCACATGAGGATTTCTGTTGTGATCTCTCCCTCTGGGGCATCTAGCATTGGCCACTGTCGGCAGACAGGATACTGGGCTGGATGGACCATTGGTCTGACCCAGTGTGGCTGTTCTTATGTAACTAATTTCTGGGAATGGTTTTCTAACCAGTTATGCACCCACTTTTTAGTAGATCCATGCATGTTCTATTACCCTTGTTTGTTAATGAGAAGGTCATGCAAGACTGTTTGAAATGCCTTACTAAAGTCTAGAAATACCACATCTACTGTTTCTCCCCTTATTCATGCACCTTGTTACCCTCTGAAAGAAAACTATCAGGTTGGTTGGGATGATTTGTTCGTGTCAAATCCATGCTGACTGTTACTTATAGGTTTATCATCTTTTATCTGTTTGCAAATGGATTCCTTAATTATTTGCTCCATTTTTTTTTCTGGCACAGAAGTTAATCTGACTGGCCTGTAAGGCCCTGGGTTGTCCTTATTTCCCTTTTTATACATGGGCACTATATTTGATCTTTTCTAGACTTCTTGCATCAAATATTCCAGGACTGTTCAAAGATAATAGCAAATGGCTCAGATATTCCCTTAGTCAGCTCCAAACTTGAGTATTCTAAGGTGTGTTTCATCAGGCCCTGAGGAATTGAAGAAATATACCTAAGACATATGCCTTATCTAAGTAGAGTTTAACTATTTTAGCCTCAGATCTGATCTCATTTTCACTGACATTCACTATGTTACATGTTGAATCATCACCAACCTTCATGGCGAAAACCGAAACAAAGAAGTCATTAAGCACCTTAGCCATTTCCCCATTTTCTGCTACTGTGTTTCCCTCCTCACTGAATAACGGGTGTACTCTGTCTTTGGTCTTCCTCTTGCTCCTAATGTCTTTGTAGAAGGTTTTCTTTGTACCCTTTATCTAGTGTGACCTCATATTGTGCTTTGTCCTGACTAATTTTGCCCTTCTGTGGGACTTCTTTTGGATTTTAGATCATTCAAGATCTCCTGGATAAGGAGAACGTACTACAGGGAAGGTCGAGAGTCTTCAGTGAAGCAGCGCTCATGCAGGCTAATCCATAGGAAGGATCCACATGCTTGTTTTGAGTTGTGCCCAACACAACAGCAATAAGACTAATACGCCAAGGATAAACTTACCCACCTCCATTCCCCTCTACCTCATTCCCATCCCCCCAAATTCTTACAAACCATGATGACCGAGTCATTCTTCTTAACACCCGCAGATATGTTTCCAGACATCTTAGGAAACCTCTGAGGGCTATTCCCATTGTATTTTTTGTGATTTAATTGGACATGCTGAAACTTTGTGAGTATTTATTGGTTGGCTAGGGCATTCTCCAAGTTCCTAGAACAGAGGGCGCAGGGGGATGGTGTAAGTGGGCAGGGCTGGCCAGGACCCAACTCTTCAAGGACCTTTTCAGAGAGCAAAAAAGCCCACGCTATGGAGATAAGCATGGGAGAGACAGCTGGACAGATGTTACTTTTCAATTTTAGATCCCATACCAATCTCACAGTCCTTTCGGCCTCTACGCTCAGCCCTGCCAGATCTTACTGGTCCCAATGGGATGAAATACAATGGACACTCAAAGCCATAGCCACACTCACCTCTTTCACAGATGGGGACAGGAGGATCCCAGCTACCATCACGTTGGCACCGAGTCTCAGCGCTCCCACGCAAGATGTAACCAGGCTCGCATTTGAACATCGCGACAGCTCCAGGTCTGTAGGGGGCCAGTGCCCCATTCGTTCTGCCATTCTCCAGTTCTGGGTTTACACACCTCGCTGAAAGGGAAAGTGTAACAACCACTGTAGGGTCCCCTACATACGCACAATGGAACGGACCATTTACCCACTGAGCCGGTTCCTTTGACAAGCCTTTTACATCAGTCTCTTAAATATGGCTACACTGGGACATCCTCTTTTTAACGTGATCAGTTCTTCAGCAGGGACGTTACCCCGCTGCACTCCCAGAACCATTCCCTGCTGGTACCAGTGGATGCGAAGCCTCTGAAGTTAAAGGAGCGCCTTCTGCCAGCAGCGACTTTGGCCCATTTGTGCCACTGCGGGTTTCATCCCCAGCTGTGGAAACTGCTGAATGGGTGGCCTGTCTCAAATTTCTCTTGATCTCGATATAAATCCCCCGTGTGCCTGACACACGGAGCGAGGCAACGGGAAGCAGCAAACCGAACAGAAATTCACCTTCACATTGAGGGAAGGGGTTGCTCCAGGCTCCGGATGCTGTACAATGGAGTGATGCCTCCCCAACAAGGAAGTAGCCAGGATTACACTGGTACTTCACAGACATCCCACTGGTGAAGACATCTGAGACCTGGCTGCTGAGCCGTCCGTTCCTAATGCGTGGAGGAGAGCGGCATTGCTCCACTAAAGAAGAAACATTACATGAGCATAAGTGTCGATAGGAAGTGAACATAAATGACCAGGGACACCCTTCCGAATACCAACTGGCTCATGGACCGAACCCCCACAGCCCTGTGACTGAGACAGCCCCCTTTTGGAAGAATAAATATGATCTAATGAGGCGCTAGAGTTACCTATGTCAAGGAAAGAAGCCATTCTGCACACTCAAATACAGACAGGGAACACAGACTACGTTCTCTTAGGTGTGATCAGAGAGAGATGTGAGCACAACGGTCACTCTCACTCGCTGGCCAGATTTATCCACCGTCTCTGAACTGTGGCTGGTGCTCTGAGAAGCAGGTGCTGAGGTGATTTTAAAGCCTAGGCTCTCATTTTTCAGAGTGACTAGCGACGTTGGGTGCCCAACAACAGACATCTGAAAGGGGCTTCCTTTGCTGAAGGACACAGCAGTTCCCCCTTCCAGAAAAAAAAATCAGACCCCTTTAAGCATTTTAAGGTGGGCAATGAAACATCACTGGAGAAGGCAGACTAATGATTCAGCGTGTTCCATCACTAGCACCAATGCTTCAGGAATCTTTACTTTTTGTAACTTCCCATTATAGAAAAGAGCATGGCTGCAAGACCAGTGTCAAGGAGAAACATGGTTTCATTATTATTCACCATGCAGGAGCTAGTGGGGCAGGGGGTGAGCGAGTGTGGTATTCCACATCCATAAAAAGAAGAAAAGCTCTGTCCAATTTACTGGAAGGACTGCTCTAAATTGATAGAAGATTTCAAGTTAAGTGTGGAATCCAGGAGAGGAAGCAGAAATACCCACAACAAGCTGTGGTGGACCAAGAATATCCTCTTCTAAATCACTTCCAGTTCCCATTTCAGAATGGGACAAGACATGAGGTCCTGAAGAGAGGAAGATCAGAGTGTTGTGCTTTCAGCTTTGAGATACAGAAATTCCCCTCCAAAGACCCAATGGTCTTGCAACTTGGCTCACTTCTTGTAGCTGGTGCCGTCTGAGGAATCTTGACACTCAATGCATTGTGAGAAGCACAATGAGCATACAGAAGAGAGAAAGTATCTCATCTGGCATCCCCAGAGCTCTCAGCACCCTGCTCCACAGCCCCCAGTCTGGTTCATTTCTAATCCTCCAGCTATGCTCCTATCTATTGGGACCCTCTTCCCTCAAACCCATCTCCAGTCTCTTGACTTGAGGAGAGCAGCAGGCAGAACAGATGCAGCCTGGCTAGTGTTTGAGGTGCTCGTGGATCAGACAGAAGGGAAACCCATTTCTAGATGTAGAATATTAAGAAATCAAAGCTTTGATACTTGCCTTGCTCGCAGACTGGCACAGGCGGATCCCACGTCTGATCAGTTTGGCACTGGCTCACTCTGGGACCCTTCATTTTGTAGCCAGGATTGCACTCAAAGGTCACATTGTCTTTATAGGAATAGATGCTTTTATCGGCAGATACTTTTCTTCCATTCGGGATGTGTGGGACTGGGCACCTAACCTCTGAAATAGAAATGCTTTTGCTGAAACACAGGGCCAGATAGGAAGACAAAATTTGGCAGCCTATACAGCCCTCCTAGCTGTTTTTACACTATCAACATTTTACACTTTTACACTGTCAACATTTTATATATCCCCTTGTTGCACTATCCTGTGTTCTTCCTCCTTGAAAATAGAGATTGTTGTGGGCAATGTGGAGGGCTGCACTGAGAGAAGGAGCTACACTGGTTACAGAGTTACCTCCCTTCATTGCAACTTGTCAAGGGTCCTCTCCTCAAGGCATGGACTGTGCTCCGACCTCCAAATCATGGAAGCGACCCAGAGCAAAGCCAAGAAGCTCAGCCCTACAAAGACTCAAAGGTCCTTCAGACCCATTGACATCCAACACTGAGGGAGCTCAGCAAGCCACACAGTCAGGGCCAAGATGCATCAGGAGGCAATGTGCTTTGTCTTTGTTAGAGTTAGAAGGGGCAGAATCTTGCAGCCTCCACACACTATACGCCTTCAAATGCAAATGTGCATGGGTCTGGCTGAAATTTCTCCCAAGAGTCTCTAGTTACCCATAACAGAACAGTTACCCATGTGTCTAACTAAGCCAACAGCACCAGACCACGGTGTTATCAGAAATAAGTCAACCCTCGCGGTGCAGCTTGTGTGCATGTAACAATTCCATTGGTAGAAAATGGGTCAGTGTTGCGAAGGGCAGACACACTATGTCCTCACATTTCTTGGTTGGCAAACCAAGAGTTTCTACATGTGACAGAGCAGTGTTGGGATAGAAGCACTCATACAAACCCCACCTCCACACCGAGGAGGACGTGCACTCCACACTCCATTTAGCCCATCTTTGGTTGTGCAGTAAATAGAGGTCTCTCCAGTTGGCGGGTAGTCTTTGTCACATTTGTAAGTTATAGCTGTCCCATAATAGAATTCATCCATTAATACCCCATTGTGGGTTCCATTGGGGATGTCTGGAGGGGGAAGACACGGAATACCTGGAGAGACATAGGAGAAGAGTATTTGAGAATAGATACTGTTAAAGAAGCAGCTCCCATTACTTGACCTGCTAATGAAAACGAGCTGCCCTAGCTATGAAACCACTAGAATGAACTAACCCAACAGAGACTGGCCCTGGGGTGTCTGATTCACTCTGACACTGATGTAATGTAAATTGCAAAATTTACTAATTAATACAATTAACTGTAGCAACTTATTGCAGTGCAGCTAGATGTCCAGATTCAGGGTGGATTAAGAACAGAAGCTATTCACAGCAACAAGGGAACAAATGTAACTACTATTCTCTACCCGTATCATGAGACTACCCTGTCGTGGGTGACTTTTGTTTCTCTGTCTCAGCAAATGTAGTATCTCTGACAAACTGAGAATGCCAGGTCAGTGGTTCTTAACCAGGGGTACGTGTACATCTGGGCTATGACAAGGTCTTTTCCGGATATTAAACAAACTCTGGATATTTGCCTAGTTTTACAATTGGCTACATAAAAAGCACTAGCAAAGTCAATAGACCCACTAATTTCATGTAGACAATGACTTATTTATACCACTCTACACACTGAAATGTAAGTATTTTATATATATCTATAAACTATATCTCAATTCATCTATCTATCTATATATATTTGAATGGGTCTGTCTGTGAGCCCATTTGTTCAAAAACTTCTTCCAAATGATAAGAGCTAGGGCCATCACGTTTGCTAAGCATCTTCCTCTTCTCTTAACTAAAAGCAATGTCAGGGTTTGGTTGTGCCAGGACAACTGAAAGCCCTGGGAAAGGAACTATTTTCCAACACATGCCAAAGGAGGGGGTTGCTGTTTGGAGGGATGTGAAACAAGTGTGCCCACTGGGAACAGGGAGCCTGCAGAGAAGAGCTATCCTAATGTATCCACAGGCAACAGCTGTAATACCAATCAAGTGCTCAGCAGGGCTGGAGCTCTTGCATCTTGCTTGCCAACTGTCCAAATTAGTAGCCACCCTTTCCCAACCCTTTCCCCACTGTTCCCAGCCTATGGCTCAGTGCCAGAGGGGGAGAGAAAAGGGACCATGGCTGTCAGGAGGGGACCTGAGAGGAGAAATATGGCCCATGGCAATAACCATCTAGGCGGAATATTGTTGCCATACGAAGTTCAGTGTCCTTTTCAGTTACTCTGGTCTCAAGGAAACGCAAAATTGTTGTTCTCAGGACACACTTCCCCCTGCGGTCTCACATTCACTTCTCAATTGAAGATTCTGTTGTGGTTAGAGGACTCACTTGGGACTCTGAGATTTGGATTTCTTTAGCTCTGCTCCTGGCCAACTTCCTAAATCACCCCGAACACATCTGCATTTCTCTGTGTCTGAGTTCTTCCTCTCTGATGTGGGGATCACGAGGGCTACCCTAACAGTTTATGAACATTTGTGAGGCAAGCAGATCACACAAGTGCCCTTGCCAGCATATGGACAGATGTCTGTAATTCACTCACGCTCGCAAAAGGGCAGCTCACCGCTCCATGCAACGCGCACGCCGAAAAGCACACATCGTCTGGAAGACTTTCCAATCATCCGGTGCCTGGAGTTAGGCAGAAGAATGATCAGTTGTTTTCTGGTTGTTTTATTTATATATTTATTTATTGGCATTTCAGTTCTCCTGAGAAGCTCAGTTATTTAGTAAGCTTTTCTCAGTAGCCGAAGAAGGTCAACAAAGAACGGAATCCTGCACAGGCCCCATCAGCTGGGGTTCTGAGCTCCAGGGGATCCAAGATCTCCTTCCTGTGCCCTCTGCTCCTCCCCACACCAGTAGGGTCATGCCCTGCCAGGGAATCACAAGCCACAGGCAAACTAGGAACATCAGCACTTCGGGGCAGGTTGCTGGGGGTTGTTACTATCCCAGCTCCACACCGGTTCTACACTTCTTACGTTGGAGTGCATTGGGTTATGGGTGTGGGCCTGGCACACCCAGCTGGGGTTGGCCAGCTTGAGACAACCAGTCAGTCAGTCCTAACCCAAGAAAGTGCTATATATAAACCACTGCATCACACGAGGCCCACATCCACAGACATGGTGGATCTAGAGTTCTGCACCAGCAGCTGCTATGGCCATTTTCTGTGACATGGGACTTGATGTGCAAAGAGATTCTTCCTTTTCCAGCCCAGACATGAGATTCCTACAGCCTTCCCAGCCAGTGCTGCAGCTGCAGAACCTCGCTATTCAGGCCACTGAAGCACTTTCAAAAAAGAGGGCAGGCTACAGATGCCCTATCCACAAGCTCTAACTCAGACAGCTCCCACGCTGGGTGTGTCCTTGGATATGGGAAGGCAGCCCTGGAGTTCCTTCTCTGCATGGCCCTTAGGAAAGGCAACCACGTCACATCATTCAGAAGAAGAACTGTTCCCAGGCCAAAGCAGATTGAAAAGCAAAGACATTCCACAAGACTGAGCACAAACAAGGAAAACAGGGAGTCTTAGGCCAATCCAGCTTTCTTGTCAAAATTACACTGACTGAACCAGGGAGGAGCTGTGCTGGCGTATTATAAAACAGCAATCTGCTTACAGGAGAAGGGAGAATACGAGTGTAAGCAGGGGCTGAACTGCTGCTTGCTATCAGCCAGCTAAAAGGAGAGAGCTGCCCTGGGGGGGAGGGGGGGAGAGGGGGGAGGGTGTGTGCCCACTACAATTGTTTAGCTCTGCAAGATAATTAGCTGTTGACTGTTGATATGTAAATCCAATTCAGCCAGAGCTGATGGAGGGGCAAGCCGCTTTTTCCAAAGAGAGCACCCAGGCAGTCTGGATGCTCTTTCGAAAAAGCCCTGTTTGCATTCAAGAACGCCTTTTTTCGAAAGAGCACTTTCGAAAAAAGGCGTTCTCCCTCGTGAAATGAGGCGTACCACCGTTGAAAGAAAAGCCGCGTTCTTTCTATTTAATTTTGAAAGAACGCGGCTGGAGTCTAGACGCAGGTGAAGTTTTTTCGAAAAACTACTTTTTTTTCGAAAAAACCCCTGAGTCTGGACACAGCCTTGGAGTGCATCCACACTGCACCCTTATCTCGAAATAAACTACGCAATTTGCACTGTGCAAATTGCATAGCTTACTTTAGGTAATTTCAAAATAGCTTATTTCAAAATTTGGCACTCTCTAGACAGCACCAAATTTCAAAATAAAGCGCTATTCCGAAAAGTCCCTTACACCGTGTGGAGCTAGGATTACAGGGGTGCCAGAATAGTGTGCCCATTATTTTGAAATCTATTTTAAAATAATGGGTGTGCTCAAAAGACGCAGAATAGCTATTTTGGGATACAGGCAGTCCCCGGGTTACATACAAGATAGGGACTCTAAATACCCCCCCACCCTCATTTCTACCCAGGTTGGGAGGTGAAACCCTGTGGGTGAACTTTTGGACTCTGGGTGGCACTGACCAGCGACAGAGACTTTTGGGGTGTCGGACTATGGGTGATTCTTGGCTGGAGTGGGGGAGAGGGGCTTAGCTCATGTTTGGGTTATGAACTCTGTTTGTGGTATTTTCCCAAGTTAATGCTGTATGACTTTTCTCTCCGTTTCATTAAATGTTTCTTTCCTACACTCAGATTCTGTGCTTGTGAGTGGGAAAGCATTGCCTCTCAGAGGCGCCCAGGGGTGTGCAAATTCCCCAGGTTACTGGGTGGGGGCTTGAGCCAGTTCTGTGTGAGATGGACCCCAAGATATTGAACCCAGCCCTGGGTGCTGCCAGGCCTACCCGGCAGAAGGGTTACACGAGGATATCCATTTATATTGCACACCTCCAAGCTAAGCACAAATAGTTAGCTAAGGCATCGGAAACGTACCCTTCGTCACACGTGAAGTTGACCACTGACCCAAACATGTTATCATTTAGTCTAATCCTGCCATTCTCCAGCTCTCCTGGATGACCACACGATTTCCCTGGTAGAGAACAAGGCTTAGATTAAACTTCTCTCTTTCAAGGCAGGAATTATCCTGGGATCCATGGATATTAAACACTCCCCACAAAAATCTTATTTAAAAAGGCCCAGAATGGGCACAGATAAAGACCTTTTACTGGTCACTATTGACTGTTTAAAGATATGTTACATTTTATAGCATTGACACATCCTCATGCCATTAAGACCTTTTTCTAATAACAGAAACAAAATATTTACTTTTACAGAACTCAGAGGCTTCTGACCACCTTCCATTTTCAAGGCATGTAACACTGGAAGACATCCCTGGGTGTCTGATGTATCCAGGCCGGCAAGTGTATTTTGCAATCGCCCCAATGATAAAGTGGTTCATATTTTTATATTCATTCCTCAGCTCAGCAAAGCTTAACCTCGTTGGGACACCACAGCCATCTAGCAAGAAATGAAACACAGATTAGAAATAAGAGCCACTTCTACTGTGCTGGTACATAAACAGATCAGGTGGAGGCAGATAAAACAATATTTTTACAAAGACTGTTTCTACGCTGCACAGTGCTATGTTGGGGGGACTGCATCTCCTGCCAAAATACCTACCACTACTCACTGAAGTGATGTTGTTAGGTCAAAAGGAGAGCTCTTTCCAGTCAGCATCAAGCAGCTACATAAGCAAATTTATAGTAGTACAGCCGCATCGATACAGCGGTGTCGTGAGAAACTTGCTATTAAGAAAGGGCTGAGGATCTGCTTTGCAAACATTCTTGCAGATGTTAAACTAGTGATTAACACACACACTCACACACACACACACACACCATTTGCATCTGGTTATAAATATCCATCATTGTATTGCCTTAGCGCAGCGTCTATATTCAGTGGTACAATCAGGGGTGTCCCGGATGTATAGGCCGACTCGGCCATCGCCTAGGGTGCCGCGTTAAACAGGGCGCCCAATGATGACATCACGCCATTGAGGGCTGTGGAGATGGGGGAACCGATCACGCATTCCACCCGGGGCGCCAGCTGCCGGCAACCTGCCTCAGGCCGCCCCTGGGTACAATGAACTGGAAGCTAAGTTATTATAATGATCCCTTCTGGCCTTAAAATATATGAATGAACTCCCATTGTAGCCAGATCCGTTGAGTCCCAATTGAGTGATTTCTCCGCTAGACCTTATACCTCTTCCTTCCTCTAAATCAGGCTGGTAAGCTAGAAAAAAAATCTAATGTTTAATATTTATAAGTAGACCATAATTTTACACCTCTGAGAAGCAAGCAAACCCCTGAGCACAGTGACAGCTAATTGCAGGCATGGAATGTAAGGTGTTTATACAAAAGTGCTCCTAAACATAAATTAATATTCAGGTGATTTCCAATCTCTACTAAATGGGCTGGTGACTGTTCCCCACTGAGTTTTGACTATGAACATGGAGCACTTGATACCCTGATGGTTTGCAAGTTTTCCATTCCGTTAGATGGATGTTTGGATCTATTGGGTAAGTAGTCTTTCCTCGGTAAAAATCTCCTACCCCTAATACTGACAAAATGAGGAACCTTGATATTCCAGACACTTTGTTTTCATAAGAACATAAGAACGGCCGTACTGGGTCAGACCAAAGGTCCTTCTAGCCAGTATCCTGTCTGCCGACAGTGGCCAGCATCAGGTGCCCCAGAGAGGGTGGACCGAAGACAATGATCAAGCGATTTGTCTCCTGCCATCTCTCTCCAGCCTCTGACAAACAGAGGTCAAGGACTCCCTTTTATCCCAAGGCTAATAGCCTTTTATGGACCTAACCTCCATTAAATTATCTAGCTTCTCTTTAAACTCTATTATAGTCCTAGCCGTCACAGCATGCTCTGGCAAGGAGTTCCACAGGTTGACTACACGCTGTGTGAAGAAGAACTTTCTTTTATTCGTTTTAAACCTGCTACCCATTAATTTCATTTGGTGTCCTCTAGTTCTTCTATTTAAGGAACTAATAAATAACTTTTCTTTATCGGCCCTCTCCACACCACTCATGATTTTATAGACCTCTATCATATCCCCCCTCAGTCTCCTCTTTTCTAAACTGAAAAGTCCCAGTCGCTTTAACCCCTCCTCATATGGGACCCGTTCCAAACCCCTAATCATTTTAGTTGCTCTTCTCTGAACCCTTTCCAAGGCCAAAATATATTTTTTGAGGTGAGGAGACCACATCTGTACACAGTATTCAAGATGTGAGCGTACCATAGTTTTATACAGGGGCAGTAAGATATTCTGGGTCTTATTTTCTATCCCTTTCCTAATAATTCCTAGCATCCTATTTGCCTTTTTGACCACCACTGCACACTGCGTGGAAGTTTTCAGAGAACTGTCCACGATAACTCCAAGATCTCTTTCCTGATTTGTCATAGCCAAATTAGCCCCCATCATACTGTACGTATAGTTGGGGTTATTTTTCCCGATGTGCATTACTTTACACTTATCCACATTAAATTTCATTTGCCATTTTGTTGCCCAATCACTCAGTTTGGTGAGATCTTCTTGGAGTCCCTCACAGTCTGCTTCTGTCTTGACTATCCTAAACAGTTTGGGATCATCTGCAAACTTTAATACCTCACTGCTTACCCCTTTCTCCAGATCATTTATGAATAAGTTGAAAAGGATCGGTCCCAGGACTGACCCTTGGGGGATACCACTAGTTACCCCTCTCCAATCTGAAAATTTACCATTTATTCCTACCCTTTGTTTCCTGTCTTTTAACCAGTTCTCAATCCAAGAAAGGACCTTCCCTCTTATCCCATGGCCATGTAATTTACACAAGAGTCTTTGGTGAGGGACCTTGTCAAAGGCTTTCTGAAAATCCAAGTATACTATATCTACTGGATCCCCCTTATCCTCATGTTTGTTAACCCCTTCAAAGAACTCTAATTGATTAGTAAGACATGAGTTCCCTTTACAGAAACCATGTTGACTTTCCAACTTGAAAAAAAAAATCCAGATCATATAAAAGTAACAAAAGTCTTTACTAAACAAAATGTCCCAGTCGGTGCCTGTTTCTTTCTACATGCAAACTTTGATACTTTTTATTAATTAATATCTAATCCAAAAAACTCCATTCAGTTTGATTACATTGCCTTTACTTCTGTGTTTGATTCTACTACCCTTTCCTTTTGAAATTAGATTCCCTTATTTGTATTTTCTGTCTCAAGGTTTTACATCCATGTTTTTAGTATCTGACCACTTCCCATAGACAAAGGCAGATAGAGGACATCATAAAGCCTCTGGAATGTCTTCTTTCCAAGGTTATTGGAAACACCATTTAGATGGGGGCTTTTTTAGAGTGATTCTGTTATACCAAATGGCTTGTAGGGGGAGTTTTGTCATTGCTTCAGTAAAATTATTGTGGCTATTGGGTAATTTCTGCTTGTCTACGGTATTTTGTTTTCCTGCTTAGGACTCAGAGGCCATACTGCTGTCTTTTAAATGTTGTTCATAAATGATTCTGCACCAAGGTTTGTAATGGTCTGCTAAATGGGGCAAAACTTCCATACTTAGCCCAGAGAAAGCCATTTAAATAGCACTCAAGAACTCCTGCATGCTTTGCAGTTCTTACACCAACCAAGAAGGTTATCCATTTCCCTAACATTGTTAACTTACCTTCAGAGTGCAAGAAAAGGGGGACATTTCTCTTATTTAGAACCCCAGGAACAATTACTGGAAATAAATGTAAGTAAAAGGTTTGCAGCTACAAAACTGAAATTTCTGAATTCGAGGCACATATCCAACTCTTTTATCAGTCAGATTTCCAAAGGCCACGGAAATGCCACTACGACATATGCAAAATTATAGATCTTTGTTGCTTTCAGAATTGGTGGGAAACCAACAAAAGAAAAAGTTATGAAGACTCAGGCTATGTCTACACTGGCGTGTTCTCACACAAAAACTCTTTTGCAGAAGAGAGTGTCTACACTGGCATGTGCTTTTGCGCAAGAGCATCCATGCCAGTGTGGACGCTCTCTTGTGCAAGAAAGCTCTGATGGCCATTTTAGCCATTGGGCTTTCTTGTGCAAGAAATTCATGTTGCCTGTCTACACTGGCCTCTTGCGCAAGAACAGTTGCGCAAAAGGGCTTATTCCTGAGCAGGAGCATCAGAGTTCTGGCGCAAAAAGCCCTGATTTCATACATTAGAATGTCAGTTTACTTGCGCAAGAACACGCGGCCAATGTAGACAGGCAGCAAGTTTTTGCACAAGAGCGGCCGCTTTTGCACGAGATTGCGCCAATGTAGACACAGCCTCACAGTTTAACACTGACATAAAAGCCTTACCCTGAACCATAAATCACTGCTACATTCTCCTAACCAATTTCAATAATACTGAGCATTTGGCTGTCTACCCTGCAAGCGTTCAGAAACTTGCACAACATCTACACTGCATGCATGTTCTTGCGCAAGTAAATTTACAGTAAAGCATCAGAAGAGAGGGTTTCTTGAGCAAGAGCTATTCCTCTGCCAACAAGGAATAAGCCCTCTTGTGCAAGCCCTCTTGTGCAAGAGCTCTTGTGCAAGAAGGCAGTTGGATGGGAACAGGCTAAAATGGCCATCAGAGCTTTCTTGAACAAAAGAGCATACACATCGCCACAGACACTCTTGAGCAAAAGCACATGGCCGTGTGGACACCGTCTTACGCAAGAACTCTTGTGCAAAAAGTTCTTGTGCAAGAAGCCTGCAGTGCAGCCATAGCCTTTATGTTGTCACAGTCTTATAGAATTACTAATTAGTTGCGGGATGAAGATGGAAGTTGTTACACCAAAGAGTTCCTTTAAAAAAAAAAAGTATTATGATTGACCTTCTTGTCTCTATTAAGAGTCTTAGCAGATATTTTCCTCAGAGTTTTGACTGTGTATGTGGAGAAACCATTATCCTGATCAAACAAAGGGATTCTTACCAACAACATTTCATTCAGTAGGTAAGAGACTCTACAGTTTAATTCATTGAATAAAGGAAACATAGGGACAGACTAGTGTTCAACTATATAATATTTAATTCATATGTATCTTTCACTTCTGCAAATCAACGGTAGTGGTTTGACACTTCGTTTCTTGCTCATTAACCCACTATTTTTATCTATGTTAAAGCACTTCTTATATTTCAAAAATATAATGCATCAAACCTTAACCTGAACTCTCACTACCCATATCCTCATATAAACTTTGTTGAGCTAGTCAGCCAGGCACAGTTCCATAGTTCTTCTGAGTTAAAGAAGACTCCCATGGTCCTGAGTGGGGAGTTATGCTTGAGTAATGGAATACAGAATTTGGTCTCCTGACCTAAGCAAACAAACAGGCATGTGGGCAGCCATCTCAAAAAACTACTTCACGAAGCCTACGGGTACATTCCGGAGGCAGAGTGCTTACACCCATTTCGCAGAGGAGCAGAAGGAAAGCACAGAAAGAGAAAGGGACTTGCCTACATGACTATGAATGTGGCCAGCCTAGAGTCACTGTCAGAAGGGAAGTGAAGGGACAAATGTAACCTAGCAGCAGAGTGGGAGAAAGCTAAATGAGAGCATTTTGTGGCCATTCTTTCAACTTTAAGATCCCATGGCTGTGTCTACACTGGGCCACTTATTCCGGAAAATCAGCCGCTTTTCCGGAATAAGCTGCGAGCTGTCTACACTGGCCCTTGAATTTCCGGAAAAGCAACGACGCTCTATTCCGGAAAAGCTACGCTGCTCCCGCTCGGGCATAAGTCCTTATTCCGGAAAAGGGCCAGTGTAGACAGCCCAGTAGTCTTTTCCGGAAAAAAGCCCCAATCGCGAAAATGACAATCGGGGCTCTTTTCCGGAAAAGTGCGTCTACATTGGCCACAGACGCTTTTCCAGAAAAAGGGCTTTTCTGGAAAAGCAGCCTGCCAATGTAGACGCTCTTTTTCCGGAAATACCTATAACGAAAACTATTCTGTTTTAAGCATTTCTGGAAATTCATGCCAGTGTAGACACAGCCCATGAGGATATGGAGAACGCAAGGGAAGTGCTTCTGTCAATACATGGCCTTTACCTCTAAAGCCTGATGCTGCCCTGCTAGGATGGGCAAAGAGAACAGGTTAGATCGACATCTGTCAGGGATGGGGAACCTTTTTGGGGGCTGGAGCCACTTGAGCAGCCCACCCCCCCCCCCACACACACACAACAAGAACACCTCACGGATGTGGCCCCTGATGGAGAAGCAGAAAGACACTCCCCAATTTCCCCTCACACACCAAAGCTTTACCAGGCTCAGGCTAGTAGGCTTTGTGGGCCCTTCTAGGCTCTGGGGTGGGTCGGGTTCAGTGTGTGGGAGGGAGCTGCCAGGAGGCAGGCTGAGGGTGTGGGGGGTGGGTCTGGGATGGTGGTACGGCACAGGAGCAGGCTGAGGGTGTGAGGGCTGGGTGGGAGGAAGGGTGCAGGAGCAGAATAGGAGTGCATCAGCAGGCTGGGGTTGGGGGTGCTGCAGGGCTGGAGCACCAACGCCAGCTCCTTGATGCTTGGGGCAGCCGGGAGCCTCAGGGGCCGTATTCAGGCAAGCTGGGGGCAGATACAGCCCTGGAGTGTAGGTTCCCCACCCCAATCTAGACGGCGCTTGGTCCTGCCCTGAGAAGACT